TTCAACCATGTCTACGGCTATCTTCCCACACTCCCCCACTCAGCTCAGAGTCAGGCTCCACTACTGTTAAGTGCTCCGAGATGCTACCCTGTGTGTAGGGCGCTATATAAGTTCATGTTGTTGTTGTATTTACATACCAACTTCCAAACTGAGTTAATCTTACAGACGGACGAGTCGGAGGTCAGTCTGGATGCCGTGCTCTCCCAAACATTCAATGGAGCATCCAATATTATACTTCAGTAGGAAACTTTACCCTAGAGAGACTCAGTGATTCAAAAGGAGTGTTTGGCAGTGAAATGGGCAATCGAGAGCCTCCGATGCTACCTAGCAGGGGTTAGGGTTGTCCTGGTGATAGATCGTGCCATAAAATGGTTATGAAGGATACCAATGCTAGGCTGCCCAGGTGGTATTTGGCTCTCCAGCCCTTCACAGTGCACCACAAGCCTGGGTGGGAACATGCTTACTTCCTGTCTTGTGAGGGCATGGACAGTTGGGCTCTCGCTGTGGGTGCCTCTGGCTACCTTTTTAGGCGGGAGGAATGTGACAGCAGATAAACCTTGTAACTGCCTTTTATGGTTATTGGTGATCAATCTTCGTGTAAATACAATAAAATACAAAATGACATTTACACAGCACCTTTCACATCAGGAGGACGTTGGGCAGTCAGGGATTTGGATTCAAGCAGGGGGTTGGGATCAGAGAGGGTGGAAGGCAGAGAGGCTAGGAGGGTGGCTGAAGGTGAGGTCAAAGAGGAGGGTCTTGAGATGGACCTTAAGGGAGGCGAGGGAGGGAGTGAGCGAGCGAGGCGGAGGTAGAATGGAGTTCCAAAGGGTGGGGGCTGAGAGGCTGAAGGCCCAACCACCAAGTCAGGAACCTGCTGAGAAGAGGGAGCGGACAGGTTGATATGGGGTTGTAAAGGGAACTAACAAGGGCTGGATTCCACATCAGGCTTGTTTGGCGTTCGAATCCTAAGTGCTAATTGGGCACAAGAAACAGGCTAACGAGCACTAGTATAAAATTGGGTGCTCAAGCAAGGTGAAGGGGAGTTTGGAGAAGATGGGTGTAAAAAGGTAGCGCTTCTCCCTCAATTGATCTTCCTCATCAAAACAAACCTTTCTTTTGATTGCGACTGCGCATGTGTTGTTTTCTGGGCGTGATCTATGCCCTCCTACAAACCTCCTCATAACATGACAACTAGCCTGAGGACTGTGTGTGACTTGAATGGATTTGTTAAAGGAAGAATGGATAATTAAGCTTAGAACAGCTGTGAGGAGCGGAAATGTGCCCCAGAGGAAATGCGAGGCCTGAGATCAGTCCAACTGACCATTGGAATGTGGACTAGATTCAGCTGGGACCCTAAAGTGGTCTAGGAAGCTACCCTGTGTGAGGGACGCTGTACAAATGCAAGTTGTTGTAGTTGCTTTGATATTGCCAATCTTTCGCATCCTTCCCAGCTTCTCAATGCTCTCTGACTTTACACACTGCCCAGAGAATTAACAAAACATTCTTTGACCTTGAAGAATAGTTATTTAATTCTTGCTGTAGTTTCTTAAATAATTTTCTGCCAAAGAGGTGGTGGTCAGATGCTGAGTGTTCAAGTGGATAATGTAGGGCGAATTAGAAGTGGGAGCTATCGAAAAGGAAGTGGTGCAAAAGAAATTGATGGAACTCAAAGAGGACAAGTCACCATGGCCTGATAGCAGCATCTGAGAATGTCAGGGAGGAAATAGTAGATGTTCTGATTACAATTTTTGTAAATTGTCAAGGTCACCAATGACATCTTGACCATCTGCGACCAGGGCTCCCTCTGCCTCCTCGACCTATTGGCCGCATTCGATACGGTCGACCACGCTATCCTCCTCCACCGCTTGTCCTCCCACCTCAACCTTCAAGGCCCTGTCCTTGAGTGGTTTAGGTCATGCCTCTCCCAGCGTCTTCATTTTGTTTCCACAAACGACTTTTCCTCCACCCCCCGCACTGTCTCGTGCGGTGTCCCTCAGGGCTCTGTCCTCAGTCCCCTCCTCTTCACCCTCTATATGCTCCCCCTGTGGTGACATCATCCGCAGATATGGGGTTAACTTCCACATGTATGCGGATGACACCCAACTCTACCTTTTCTCCTCTATCCTCAAATCCACGACCCCCGATGTCCTGACAGCTGTCTGTCCGACATTGAGTCCTGGACGAGAGACAACTTTCTTCAGCTCAAAACGCAAAACTGCGCAAAACTGAGGCCCTCCTGATTGGCTCACGTCAGCGCCTCCGCACCTCAGGCGCTGACAGCATAAGCATCCAAGGCTGGACTCTCCACCTCTCAAAGCCATCAGGAACCTTGGCATTCTGTTCGACCCTGAGCTGTCCTTTCTCCCTCATATCTGCGCCACAACTGGCACCGCCTCCCCCACCTCTGAAACATTGCCAGACTACGGCACTACCTCACCCCTCACGCGGCTGAAACTCTGGTCCACGCCTTTATCACCTCAAGGCCGGACTATGGGAACTCTCTCCTCGTCGGCCTTCCCGGCCCTCCCTCCACACTGCAGGTCATTCAGAACTCTGCAGCTCGTGTACTGTCCCGCACCACATCACTCCCACCCTCACCCTCGCCCGCCTCCACTGGTTTCCCATCCCCCAGAGGATCGAATTCAAGATCCTCATCCTCACCTACAAGGCCATTCACAGCCTCGCTCCCTCCTACCTCTCCGACCTACTATCCCCCTACTTACCTGTCCGTGCCCTCCGTTCCTCTGGCTCCGGTCTGCTCCACATCCCCCGCCCTACCATCGGTGGCCTTCAGCCTCTCAGCCCCGAGGCTCTGGAACTCCATCCCCCAGTGCCTTCGCCGCTTCCTCCCTTTCCTCCTTCAAGGCCGGTCTCAAGACCTTTCTCTTTGACCGTGCCTTCAGCTCCCCTCTCGACTCTCTACCCCCTCCTCGACCCCTCCCTCCCTCCCCTCACCCTGACCATTTCCCCCCTGCTCGGGTCCTGACAGTTGTCCAGCGCCTTGGGACGTCCTCCCGACGTGAAAGGCGCTCTATATATGAAATCTTGTTGTGTTGTTGTTCTCAGAAAAGCACTTAAGCTGTGTAACTGAGATATGGGGAACTTACTGCGCAAACGACCTTGCATCCAACCCAATAGAGGATGGTGGGTTCCATCCCCACAGCAGAGGTTTAGGTCGTTCAGTCAAATGCAGTAGTGGGACTTGGAATGCATTGGTAGAGATGCTGTCCTTTAGATGAGAAATTAACCTGAAGTCCCATTTGCCTATAAAGATGGATCACATAGTTCTATTTAATAATAATCCTTACATTTGGGTGTAGCGCCTTTCATGTCAGGAGGATTTTTAAAAATCTTAACTGTGCTTGACTGTTACTTTAACTAAATGAAAAATCATAGAATGTTTTGGCAATCTTTCATATCCAGCACAGTGTCGACACACTAAACAGCCTTCTTCTGTGCCGTAAAATTCTAATGATTTAATTCTAGTGCATCTGTAGCTGGCCTTCAACAAGACTTACTGCCAAGCCGGCTATATAAGATAACTGCTAGTTTTGACTGCAGTAAATTCTGTGGACTAAAACGTTGGGGAGTTCACCCTTCAATTCAAGCAATAACTGAACTGATTTACATCTATGTTGGACTGAATTTAGCAGCAATATATTATCACACTGTAATTTATTACTACCCCAACGTTGAACAGTTTCAGAGAGAGCATGGAACGAACATTCCAAACCAGGTCAGCTTGTGGTTTTGACTATCAATGCAAAAGTGATTTAAAATGCCCCCCAAGGGATGCTGGCTATGGAGAGGGAAGGCTACGTACTGCTTACTTACCCAAAAAAGTCAAGGGAACCAGCTCAATGTTTCTTTTATTTTGGGCACGTGCTGTTTAGCTTCTATCGTTCAATATTGTGGGACGCTCCAGTGCAATATTGGGAGGAGGGCTGCATTATCAGAGATGGTTTTATTCGGAAAAATATGAAACCGAGGTCCTACTGGATTGTCCTCCGGTGGATAGTAAAATATCCCTTGAGAAGGTTAGACAAAAGGAGACAGTTTCTGATGGCCAGTGATCCACCAGGTTAATTTGGCATTAAACGTCATGCTGTGAAACCAAGTACAGGACCTGACGTGGGGCTTGAGTGCAACCAACCGAGGTAAGCAAAGGACTTTCCCTGCATCGCTATTCTTGACAGGTTGCAAAACTTGGTCTCTATCCCTTGAGTTCACGGGTTGAGGGTTGATCTGATTTGAGCTTTTTAAAACAACATAGAAGCCAAGGAATCCGTTTACATTCTTTATGGCCTTGTCCAACTGCACTACTTTCAGATTCCCGTGAACCCGAATGATCGATTGATGGACTGCGGACTCCAGCCATTCACGAGCGTCTCCGGGCTGTCAATCAGTGGGGGGGGGGACAGAGGAATGGGGATGTGGGTGAGAATGAGGAGTTAAATTGCAATTGATTGACAGCCTAGAACCGCTTGTGAATAGGTGTAGTGCCCACCACTGCCCATCCAATGTGAACAGCAATGGGAGGGAGGTGTCATCGACGCTCCTCTGCTGGGTGGGGAGGGGTAAGGAAACTTCGGCAAACGTCAAACACTGGTTAAGCGAGACAAAATGGCAGATATGGTCGGCTTAAGTGGCTTCTACTGTAGATCCTGTGAAATGTTTTGCAACTTCCTCCTGTTGTGAAAAGCGTTGGATCAAATGCCAGGACTATTATTATCAAATTATTTTGTGATTCGCATTTCCGAGGGCTGTATGAAGAAATTGTACCCAAATTTCTTGTTTCCTTTCACAAATTCTTTGTATGTGCCAAAGAATGTGAATGCTTTAAAAAGTGATTGGGGGGGGGAAAAAGTTCCTGTTCCCAACTCAGCTGAATGTTTGTGTCCATTTGTCTTTTGTTGCATGATTTCCTGGTTGGTTTCAGCTGCTATTTCTTTGGATTCATATCCTCTCACCCCACAAAAAAAATCTGAGACAGGGCATAACAGTTCAAATATTTTTATTTCTTAAAAATGTCTCGCAGGCCGTGCACATTTATTGAACGTGAAATTAAATACAGTGCAATAATGGCAATTCAATTACATGCACACAACTATATCAGACAGAATCGATCCATAAACCACTGGTGTAGAGAAGATAATGCAATGTTCAAGAAAGTCATCTCACATTAGCACAAACTGGAGACCTACATTTCTTGTTCCTGTTTGGTTAAAAAATAAAATTAGTGAATTATTATTGTTTTAATATAGAATAATACTGGTTAAGGTGCCAATATGCAATACAATTTATGGACAGAAAAAAAATATTCAAACATTTCCCTGACTACACTGGCTTCTGAATAACGATACTCATCCTCTGACCTCCCCCACCAGGGAAATTGGTCCTAGTCAAGAAGATGACCTTTAAGAAAGGCTTTAAAACAAACTATTTTAAATGCAGAGGCCAAAGAAACAAACTAAGGGAAATGAAGTTGAATTCTCTTGGGGACACAACTGACTTCCTTTTTGAAATGCAACTTGAATTTGCAATTCAAATTTCAACTAAAGCAGAACACTTACCTAACATGATCTTGCTTGTGTGAATTATAAAAATAATTTAATATTTGTGCTAAGAAAAAAAAGGATATTTTAAGTATACAATTTCACAATTCACCAATGAAGTAAAATGGTACAGAAGTCCTTGTGTATCACAATGAAAAATACTCTCAAAATGAACAAGATTATCAAATCCTTTCTATTGATTCCTAGTGCATAGTCTGATTTAAGCATAACAGAATCCTCATTGTCCATATTTTAAGGCTAGCTCTGTGAATATCACCTGAATTCTGTCTGACATCATTTACAAGTTGATCGATTTGGTATAAAACTTGTGGTTTGGCAAAAAAATTCTTTACTTAATTCAGGTTCTGACACGATCGTGAATGCAAAGTGCAGACAAACACGACCAAAGTAATTACTTTTTTTTAAGAATTGAGCTGCCCCCCCAAAAAAAAACACCTGGTTCAGTTTCAAAATAATTGGAACTGAAAATCAGGAGAAAAAGATTGACATGGCCTGAGAATAAACATCAGACATCTGCGAACTGGAATATATCCTGTCCTAATTAATGAAATAATTTACTTACTTTGATAAATTTTCCATGTAGGAGATACGGAGATTGGAAATCGTGCTGACAGTTAGCGTAAGCCATCCCCAATCCCAGTCCCGTGCCAAAGGTCACAGGCCACATACGCCCTGATGGGAGAAAACATTATTTCCTGGTTTAGAAGTCAATATGTTGTTTCAAAGACCAAATTTCAAAATCGACGAACAATGACACCACATACATGAGGTGAAAAACAATTGAATAATTTAAAGACAGCGAATGCCTGTTAAGCCGGACACAGCCATTTTGTCCGACTGAAGAGGCGTCCGAGGAAAGCCAAAATACCATTCCGCCCAGCAGAGGAGGGCTGCCGCAGCCTGCTAAAAATATAACAGTAATAATCCTTACATAATGGGAGTTTCACTTGAGGCAAACTAACCAAACAGGACACCAAGTATTTAACCACTGGACGGGAAAGGGACCAATTAGCGGTGAAGCTGAGGTGGATTGACAGCCCAACTCCAGCCCAGTTTACAAATGGATGGGCACTCCACTCATTCACAAGAGGCTCAGCTTGCGATTGGGTGTCCAATTTATTATTCATTTATTATTTATTGGGGAGGGATTGTGGAGTCCTGTAGCTCAGAGGTTAGAGCACTCGCTTTGCAAGCGAGAGACCTGGGTTCGATTCCCGGCAGGGTGAAACCTTGGGCAAGTTTCCTTACTCCACACACCTGATAATAATCCCTCAAGAAACAAAACAATAATAAATGGTCATTTCAATCCACGACTGTTTGTGGGACATTGCTGTGCGCAATTAGCTGCAGCATTTAGCCCACAAATATAGTCAATTCACTTTACAGTATATTCTGTGAAGCACTTTGTGACGTCTAGAAGACATGAAAAGCGCTATATCAAATGCAAGGATTATTATTATTACTACAACCCTCAGAAATTGAGGATTGTAGTAATAATAATAATAATCCTTGCATTTCATCAAGTAACAACCGGTTTCCTATATACTGCTAGGTAAACAGAGGTGTATGGAGGTGGGATACACTGTAAAGTTGTTTGACTGTGTGTATGTCGTGGGAAACGTCCCTAAGGTTTCGCCCCACCCGATTATTTTCACAAATAGTAAATGTACATTATAAACAACAGTACTTACGTTTAAAAAAGAGCACTGAGAACACGAGTCCTAATCCGAGACCGGCACCTGCAAACAAAGTAAAAATGCAAATGTTTAAAAGGATCTAAATTAAGCATCGAAACCACAAATGAAAACTTTGGGATCAGTTTAGCAATTTGTCTATCTCTGGAGGCAACCAGTAGCGTAAAATGGACAACAATAACAATTTCCATTTATAAACAGCCTTTCACGTCAGAAGGACATCTCAAAGTGCTTCACGCAACCCATTGGAAGCCTGAGTTGTTTTTTGGGGAGGAAATGAAAGATCGCTGAGAACGCAATCGAAGATAGATCCCAAGGTGGCTTTGAAGGTATGAAGGGAGGAGGCAAGGATGGAGTTGCAGAGTGGAGGTAGAATGGCTGAAAACTCACAAATGGACAAAACAACTCACCCTTCACACAGGGGAGTGTCTCAGGACGCTTAATAGTGGCAGAGCTGGACCCTGAACTGGGGAGAGAAGAGGTGACCATAAGTGCAGTTGAAGAGATGTGGTTTGAGGTTGCACGAGTGGGTGAGTGGAGAAGGTGATTGGCATTAGTGATGGTGAGAGTGTAACATTTTTCTCAAACCCGGCCGATTTCTCCCATCGTCTCTGCACAGAAGACGGTTCAATAATGAAAAGTTGGCAAGTCATTCTTCACCTGCGAGGACATTTTATTGTGCAGGTGTCAAATAGTGTCAAGACATTTGCACACGTGCAACCACCATTAGAATTATTCTGCTGGTCAGGACTTTGGCATTCTATGCATATGAGCACAAAAAGCCAGCCACCCGCCTCACAGAATCTTAAAGCACAGAAGAAGACCATTCAGCCCGTTGTGTCCATGCCGGCTCTTTGAAAAAAGCTATCCAATTCAACCCCACTCCCCCGCTCTCTCCCCATAGCCCTGCAAACTTGTCCTCCCCAAATAGTTATCTACTTCTCTCTTAAAAGTAGATGCCGCATAATGGCCAGATTCCCATGTTAAAAAATGGCCACCTTTCTGGGTCAGAGTCACTGCCAGTCACGAGCCAACATGATTTGAAGCAAGCCACCTGGTTTTCTGCATACACTGTAGATATATCGGTATCATGTTAAGACATCTCAAAGTGCTTCACAGGATATACTGTAAAGTGGTCTTACTGTGTATTTTGCAGGCGAAGGCAGTAGCCAATCTGCACACAGAAATATCCCACAAACAGGCATGGAATAAATGACCAATTTTATATGGGGATTGTTGGCCAAATACCAGGAGAAATCCCTTTCGTCTTTGCTAAAATATTACTGACGTGTATTTGAAAATATAACACAACAAAACTGAAACCACCCATCACTTTACCCTGAACTCCCAGAAAGTTAGTGTTGAAGAAGGAATTAAAAAGGCAATAAAATCCTAGAACCAAGATATATTAACCAGATCACTTGACTTTTTAATGACAGCGCACAAAACAAAATTAATGTTCTTAGTTGTGAACAAATGTCGCCAACAATTTTAAGTGCATGATAAACTTCCTAATTACAAACACATTTTTCACTGTCTGCACGCATGTAATTTTTGTTTTATACATTTCTAAAACTCACTTCCCACAGCATTGCTCCAGGAGCATGATTACTAACATCCTAAAATACATGGATGGAAGTTATACACAAGCAATAATAATAATAATCCTTGCATTTGATATAGAGCTTTATCACGTCGTCGAGACGTCTCAAAGTGCTTCACAGGATACACTAAGTGTAGTAACTGTGTGTTTTGTGGGCGAAACGGGGCAGCCAATTGCACACAGCAGTATCCCATAAACAGTCGGGATAACTAATACAAGATAACTGCCAACGAAAATGTACAAAATAGGAAACCTGTTGACCTTAGTCTCTGGTACACACCACCTGTCCCTCCAGACAGGCATTAAGATCTTTTTTTTGTTGCCCTTACCCTCAGGCTGAGGCCCACAAGAAGGGAATTTGCAATGTACGTTTGCTGAAACACACTCAGCCGTTTTAAGAATACAGAATTACAAATTTCTTCTTCCTTAAATATACAGAATGAAGGTAGACGCTAATCTTTCTGGAATGCTATGGAAAAATAGTTATGCTTTCCAAAAACACAGGAGAAAAAACAAATCCAGGTTATTTAATCAGAGACATTCCCATAGCTTCCTAATTAGTTGATTGCAAACCACATTTCGCATTTGAATTGTAATGCATTTTAAAATCAGATCAAATGGAACAAACTCCATTTCACGTCCAAAAAGAAATTTGGTAAATTATACTATCAACTCTTAACTACCTTTTTGTGGGGTGAAAGTTACTCATTTTAATTTAACTTAAACAAAACCAAATGTCAAGTCAATCTTCTGTGGTGGTCTCAGTAATCCGGTTCCTGAGCAAGGCGTGTCCGCACTACTCCAGGGCTCCGCTGAAGATAGCCCAGTTCATCGGCAAGACTTGGAGGAGCAGACACTGTAAGGGGGAGGAGGGCAGAGATTCGTCCCAGTCAGCTCCCGTTAACTCTGCAATGGATAAGGTGGAAGCTTGCTAGACTGGGCTTTGAATGGCACACTGGTTAAACTCCAGCACCCTCTGAGGGTCCCAAGACTTGGCTCTTGCTGACTTATGCCTAATAGTCTTGATTCCAATATTTTGTCGCCAATCATCTCCAAGGAGACCCCATTTACCTTCCCCCCCACCACAATCACTATCTGGTCATTTGACATCCCAACATGAACAGGTTGGAGCCCTCACTTGGTTCACAGCAGGTATCAGGAACTCCTTACAGGCTTACAGGCTTTTGAGTCTCTGATGAAATGTGTTTCTTCGCCCAGACAAGGTTAGCAGAGCACACTCCAACTTCCACAGCCAGCAGGTGCTCGTCAAGGATCAGAGCCACACAACATGCACCATTTGTCCTTCAACTACTCGGTACCCGTGGAGACTCAAGCGACGATCTCATGCATTTCCTGGAGAGCGAGAACATTCTTGGGAAAGGAAGAGGCTGATCTCAGACTTTTTGCGTCCCAAGGAATTGCCATTCCAAGAGGTAAAGGAGAGACCAGGCCTTTGAGATGGGGTGAGACTAAGGAAGGTTGAGGATGCTGGTCAGTACGGCGTCCAGCTGTCACCCTCTCTCGTGTCCTATGGCCTGAAATGCATTCCCTCCTGCACCCCAATCTCAGACCGAGCGAGAGAGAGGAGAGAGAGAGAGAACACAAGAAACAGAGGAGGCTACAAGAGAGAGCGCAGCAGAGAGCGCGAGAGAGAAAAAAAGGGAGAGAAAGATAAGAAAGAGGATGGGACGATAGGCGAAACAAATGTGAGCCAGTGAGATTGTCGGGAGATAAATGACAGAAGAGTGTGTGCTACATACGACGTAGATACTGGAAGAAGACCATGATAAAACTGTTGGTAGCATTCTCGCCTCTAAATCAGAAAATTGTGGGTTCAAACTCAAATTCATCGAGTTTCGGCCAGTCGATTCACTTTACAGTAAATAGTCCCTCAATTACATTGCAATACCCTTCAGAATCTTAAAAATCTTAAAAATAACTACCGTGTTTTTATTGGAAAAGCCCCAATTTGGCCAGCCTTTCTTCATTGTATATTAACAATAATAATGTACATTAACACGATAATATTCCTCGCGTTTGATACAGCGCCGTCTCCCGTCTTCCGAGACGTGGCAAAGCGCTTCACCGGCTGCACCGTGAGGCGATATTTCATAGATATCCTGTGGAGCGCTTCGAGGCGGCTCGAAGACGCGATACGGCGCCGCGTCCAACGCAAGGAATACCATCCGAGGATTATTCTCAGAGACCACCCGAGTGGGGGGTCTGAGACTGCAATCCACGGTGCCCGACAGACAGACAGAGACAGACCCGCCTGTGGGGGTCAGGCTCCCGGCACTGGGGCCGCAGCCTGGGCTGGGCTGGGCTGGGAGGGTAAACCCAGAGGCTGAGCTGCGGGGTCAACACCGCGCCATGACGTGTGGCCGCACTGCGGCCCAGGGGTCACGGGGTCACACCGGGCACCTTGTCCGTCCGCGAGGCCCGAGGCCCGAGGCAGCGGCTCGTCACTCCGCGCGGCCGGTCCGGGGGGAGGGGGCGAGCGGAGCGACACCGAGCCTCACCTAATTTCACCACCGTGTCCGCCAAGCACCGATCCAGCTTCCTCCCGGCCTCGGCCTCGGCCCCCGTCACCGTCCCCATCCCCGGCCCCTCGGAGCCCGGCACCTGCACCGCCGCCATTACCAGCCGCCGCTCTCGCGAGATCACAGCCCGGGTGCGTGAGCGGCCCAAGCCCCGCCCCTTTCCCAGCCGGAGGCCACGTGACCTGACCACGTGTCGTTCCGGTCCTTTCCCAGAAGCCCCTCCCCCCCCACCCCCCCCCTGGCCTGGACATGAGCAACAACAACAACAACAATAATAATAATAACAACAATAATAACAATAACAGCAATAAAAATAACAACAATAATGATACAAAATAACAATTAAAAATAATAATAACAACAATAATAACAATAATAATAACAACAACAATAATAACAATAATAACAACAATAATAATAACAACAATAATGATACAAAATAACATTAAAAAATAACAATAATGACAATAACAATAATAATACCAATAATAACAGCAATAACAACAACAATAATAAAAAATAACAACAATAGCAATAATAATAATAACAATAATAATACCAATAACAGCAATAACAAATAGCAACAACAATAATAAAAATAACAATAAAAAACAACAATAATAATAACAATAATAATAACAGTAATAATAACAGTAACAATAACAATATAACAAAAATAATAATCCTTGAATGTGATATAATCCTTGCATTTGATATAGCACCTTATCAGCTCTTCCAGACGTCTCAAAGTGCTTCACAGAATATACTGTAAAGTGTAGTGACTGTGTGTTTTGTGGGCAGCCAATTGCGCCCAGCGACGTCCCCACAAACAACAGCAAAAACAAAATTACATTAGTAAAGCACCTTTCACGTCGGAAAGGTGTCAAAAGGTGCTGGACAGGCAGAGTTTCGGACCCGAGCTGGGGTCGGGGAGGGTGGAGGGCAGGGGTGGGGGTGCAGGAAAACAAAAACAGTCGTGGATTGAGTGACCAAATTATTATTATTTCTTTTGAAGGGATTATTACCCCCTGGAAAAGCGATCCGCCAATCGACTAACAAGTGGGTTCCTACTTACGACTCGGGGAAACAGGCAGGAGGAGTAAGGAAACTTGCCCAATGTTTCGCCTGCCCTGGGAATTGAACCCAGGCGAGTGCTCTAACCACTGAGCTACAGGACTCCACAATAGTTGTGGGAGCAGCTGGAACAGGGCCAACTTTGGGCCGACTGCTCCCTCGCTCTCCCAACGAGCGTGCTATCGTGACAGTAGCTCAATGAATGAAAGAAATGGAAATAAAACTGCCAGTTGCTGCAGTCAGTCAAGGAGGCCTAACCCATCTATGTCCTCCCAACCCCTAGCCCCTGGCAATGTCCATTAGCACGGCCAGGAGATAAGCTGTACCCACTGCCAGATAGTGAGCCATATGGCTGATTGAGAGAGAGTGATTGAGTGCGGGGAGAGGGGGGAGTAGAGAGCGTGAGAGTGATTGAGAAGGAGAGGGGTGTGGGGGGAAAAGTTGATGGAGAAAGAGTGATTGAGAATGAGAAAGGGAGAGGGAGGAGAGAGTGTGTGAGAGTGTGCGTGAGAGAGGAGAGAAAGAGTGATTGACAGAGGGAGGGAGAGAGAGAAAACGTGAGGGCAGCGTTTCGTGGTTCACTGTCAGGACAAACGATCGGAGCTTCCCTCGACCACGGGGTCAGATGCCGAACGATATGCCGTACAGCTTCCTCACAGCAAGCTTGTTTCCCCAATGAAACACTACGTCCTTCACCCCGCTCCCCCTCCTCCCCCTTCCTACCCTACCTCTGTGACCTCCCAACCCGGCCGTTACCTTCGCAGAGCAAACACCAGCTTGCTTCATGTCCCCCCACCCCATCTGCCCCACCATCACCATTTTGCCCACGCTCTCTGGAGCTCCATTACCAGAGTACCAATGACTCCCTCCCTCCCCTCTTTCAAGGCACATCAAGACCCAACTCTTTGACCGGGCTTTCAGGCATCTTTTCGCTTCCCCACCGACCCCCCACCTCTCTCGGCTCCCACCCCAGGTTGGGTGCCCAGCCGGCAGTGTCAAGCACTTTGAGACCCACTGACATCGTGAAAAAGGCTCTGTGGATAACAGTGAGTCAAAAAGGGAATGAAGAAGATAAAAAAACTAGAAAACAAAATGGAGTGTAATGTCTGGGAGATAGCAAAAGCAACAAAACAAGAAAAAGAAGTAAAAGAAGCCACGAGTAGAGACGAAATGTGCCTCAATTCCCCCTCCTTGCCTCCTCCTTCCTTGTCTTCAGCTCACACCTGAAGACCTTCCTCTTCAACCGTGCCTACCGTTACCTGCCCCCCTCTCTCTGGCTCAAGCTCTGCCACGCTTAAGCGCTCCGAGATGCTACCCCATGTGTCGGGTGCTACACAAACGCGAGTTGCTGTTGTTCAGTTAAAATAAAAGGTATTTTAAGGTTAAAGGTTAAAATGAAAATGACCTTTATGATTTCCTGCACTTTCTGCCAGCAAATCCTCCTGCATTTTGGTGGGAAAATCGCTTATCGCTTGTGGGCTGGCCAAGGATTGCGCTTGTCTGGGTAGTTCAGCAGATTACATTCCAAATGGAATGAGGTATGATTTCTATTCAAAGTTGTGTTGCAAATGAAATGGATTTGGATTCCGTTTCAGCTGTTTTCTTCTGTTCAAGCTGATGCTCTCCACAGGAGCTGATCAGTAAGTTTTCATCTTCCACCCAGTCATCACCATGTGACCCTTGATTGTAACCTTGCTTGTAGCTTTTCAGTGGTTAAGCTATTTAATCTACACCATATGGTACTCAAAGGGGCCAGGATTTTTTTAACTGCGATTGCGAAAACGTCAATACAATAGTGAATTGTAATTGTAAGACTTTAGTGTAGTCACTTTACGCACAAATATTGCTTTGCGGGTAGGAATGAGATTATTGTGCATACGTGTGTGTGTATGCCACAAGCGGTCACTATTTTCATTAAAGAAGCTGATTTACAATGTGGAGTTTGGGACATCTGTTGCTGTTCTTGTTTGACTGCTGAAGAAGCAATTATAGCTCATTAAAAATGTTGTCAGTCTTGTTATAGCAGAACATACTTCAGGAGAATTCTCTCTAATTATTGAAGCATTAGTCTGAAAATATTCTGTACTACATCCATGTCCTTTGGCTTTAATTCAATAATCTCTATTCTGATTTCCATATTTACTTTGTGTATAAATATATTAACATTTTTGATTTTTTTTAAAGTGTTTTGTTTGAGGTCGTGGCCTCTTTTACCAGATAAATTACTAGTTAATCAAGTTAAAATGCACATTTAGTAAGTAAAACAGAAAAAGAAAATTCGGGTCATTATGACTGACATTTAAGCAGATTGCTACTGTCATTAACCAAGGCTTTTACAGACTAGTGGATTTTCCAGGGAACCAGGGGAATGTTTCAAGGAGTTTGCTAAAAACACATTGCATAGGCAAAGTGAGTGTTTAGCTTTGTTTTCACCGAGGAGAACAAAGAAATGTACTTTTTTTTAAATCTTGCACTCCCCTAATCTATCCTGTGAAGTTTAAGCCACACCTTCCACTCGGATGTCCAGATTCCTACCTCGCCTGCTATCTCCCTCACGTTTAGTACCTTCTCACAGTGTCTCTCCAAAAAGGGGAGGATATCAGACTGCGGAATTCGGGGATTGTTCATTCCTTAGTGAGGCTTTTCTCTCCCGTCTGATCCGCTCCTGAAAGAGGGCCTTGATCTCAAAGGGACATGGGGCCTCCTCCAGGAGGTCGATCTCTTTCAGCTTCATCGCCTTCTCATACGAGATTCATGGTACTTGCATCTCCTTTTCTCTTTAATGCCCTCTTTTATGAAGGCCATTCTGTCCATTATACAATGCACCCTCCCAATTTACTTCCCCCTCCTCCATACTGCTCTCCATTGTCTCTCTCGCTCTCCTCTTCCTAATCTTCCCCACCAGGACTCAACAAAAACAGGGAGAAACCCAGCCTCTTGCCAGCCCTTCTTCTAACCCCCTCTCAGCCCTAGCCTGATATATAACTCTCCTCGTTCAGGCTTTGCTCACCTCACTCTTATTAAAAGTACCGACTTTTCCAATCCAAAAAACAACAGTGCATTTTACTTGAGCCCTGATCCCAATCTAATCACCACATTCTGTGCATATTTCATCTATGTTTCACAGACATTTTGTCAAAAATCTCTTTTTAAATGAAATCCTTATGGGAAGCTGGTAGCAGTGACACAGTTTGAAATCATTAAATTGGAACAAAATCCATTCTCTCAGGAAATAATAGTTTTTTTTTTGCATCTGAGTAGTTTGGTACATCTGGCTTTATGTAAAATATATTGTAATGCGTACTTCAATTTATAAGCTTAATTTGGGACATTTAAGATCGAAATGAAGCAGTGGTGTGAAGTTTAAGGCTCTTGATGTATGGATGTGTCTGCCTTCTCAACCATTTTAATTTGAAATTATGATTTTGCCAAATCTTCTCTAAATTCATAATATAATAATAATCCTTGCATTTGATATAGCACCTTATCACGTCGTTGAGACATCTCAAAGCGCTTCACTGAATATACTGGATAGTATAGTGACTGTGTATTTTGTGGGTGAAACACGGTAATCTAATGAGATCCAATAATCTAATGAGATTCCAAAACAGTCCTCAGTGCCCTGTGATGTTTTCAAAATCTGAAGCCTGGCACATTAATGCACCTCTAGACAATTAATCTAAAGACAGTCCGGTCTGTCAACCCTCTCAGTTCTTTTGAAAGGACGGTTTTCTCAATATTTGCCTGCACTATAAGAGGACACTAACCACACAATCTGGACTACGCCACCACTATTGGTCTTGATAGTCTAGAGGTAGAACTGCCAAACTGAGGTAGTCCAGGATATATCTATCTATCTGGATTAGAATTATCCAGATAGAATTATCCAGAACAACTGACTTTATCAAAATGGACAAAATGGCCATTACTGCAGTCTGTCAGGAAGGCTAATCGTCTCTCTATCCACCATGTCCTTAGCAATCGCCGGGACAAGAACCCAGGTTGATTTTTTTCTTTCTTTATTTCGAACTTTGAGGCCAATTACAGTGCCCCATCCACTGCTTCAGT